GACCTTTTTTCCAAGGTAATTTTTGCCCTCTTCCTCACATAACCCTATGGCGAATTACTCCACCACCACTGGATTCCATCCCTCGACAAATTCAAGGCCAGTGCATCGGTGCTCCACTATTGGACGACGTCACACAAGTCATCAATGACCTATTTTGCCTCTACTCTGGGCACGGCGCTTCTACAATATCTCTACCCATGAAATCATGGAATCATCAAACCATAAAAGAAAAAACCATAACTTGATTACTATTTCAGGTTTGACGTCAGTGCTGAATATTGGAAATTTCTTAAATCTTATGGTATGCGGTATAAAAGAGGAATGAATTACACTTCAAAGTGCGAGATTGCAAATACACATATTAGAGAAGAATCGACAAGTGAAAAATTTTAGGGTTAATCTCATTTTGCACCTCGAAAGATTGTTCGAATTTCAATTTGCACCTTCAAAGATCAAAAATCTCAATTTACACTCTCAAAGATAGAAATTTGTATCAATGTGCACCCCCAAAGATCAAAAATCTCAATTTGCACCCTCAAAGATAGAAATTTATATCAATGTGCACCCCAAAGATAAAAAATCTCAATTTGCACCCTCAAAGATAGAAATTTGTATCAATGTGCACCTAAAAACTAAATTGATAAATTATACCTAGATCCCCTCATACTTGTCACTTAATCATTTAGACCTCTTCACATTTAGAATATTACTCCTACATCTTATGACATTTGTGCACGTATAACACGTAACCCATTTTCATTGATATCTATTAATATAACCGTTAAAAAATATAATTTTATCCTAATAAAAAATTATAATTTCATATTACCCTTTATTTTATGGGTTTAATATATTCTAAAGTTCAAAATCTAGTTTATCATTTGAATGTCTAATAAAATGTAAATATTTATATAATGTTTTTCATATTACCTTTTATATAAATATCTACATTTTATTAGACATTCAAATGGTAAGCTTGATTTTTAACTTTAGAGTATATCGAATCCACAAAATAAAAGGTAATATGAAATTATAATTTTTTATTATGATAAAATCATATTTTTTAATAATTATATTAACAGATATCAACGAAAAGTGGTTATGTGTTACACATGCACAAACGTCATGAGATGTAAGGGGAATATTCTAAATGCGAAGGAGTTCAAATGATTAAGTGACAAACATGAGGGGATCTAGGTATAATTTATCAATTTAATTTTATGTGCACATTGATACAAATTTCTATCTTTGAGGGTGTAAATTGAGATTTTTTATCTTTGGGGATGCACATTGATACAAATTTCTATCTTTGAGGGTGTAAATTGAGATTTTTGATCTTTAGGGGTGTAAATTGAGATTTGAACAATCTTTTAGGGTGCAAAATGAGATTAACCCAAAATTTTACATACACAAATTTTTTGCATTAACGAAATTTTGTATTGTATGAATCCAAATCGACGGTCGAGTAATTTTGACGATGTCATGCACGCTTTGATTGTTTTCAATCTCAAAGAAGAACGCTTTCAAGAGCTTCCATAGTCATCGATGAGGTCGAGATAAGGTAAACTCACTCTAAGTTGTGGGTATTAGAGAACGAGGGTAAAAGAGAGTTAAGACCAATGTTCATAAACAAACCATCAAATCTGCATTGAAAATGGAGTTTATAATCGTATAAAATGATGGAATAATTCGAACTCTTATCGGCCAAATTATCTCATGTTGCTAAAGCTCTCCCCATCATTACTTGTACATGACAAACGTTGGTGATGCACAAAATTGGTGTGCACACCACTTGTTATGGTAGAGGAGGCTTTTGAATGACCTTTACTCTAAGGTGGTAGAGGAAGTTTTTGGACGAGCTTGCTCCAAGGTGGTAGAGGAGGCTCTTAGATGATCCTTGCTCCAAGGTGGTAGAATAGGTTCTTGGATGAGCTCTTAGACGACTCTTTGTGCTCCTCTACTAATGTAACTCTTGAAACTTTATGAGCTTGACTAAGTACAAACTCCTTTGAACTTGACTAATTGAATCTCTTAGAATTGAATTCTTGGACTTATAACATGAGTTGGGCGTTTAACTTGGCCCATCAAACATAGGCATGTTTTTTCGGTTAGCAATCTTCCATTCGGTGAGATATTATTAAATCTATCAAGAAATAATACAAATAAAAACCCTAGGAGTATGGCCTATGTTGCATTCACATATCCTTTGATGACACTGTGTTTGTCGGTCCCCACCAAAACCATAGCCTCCTTCATCGGAAATTTGTCCGTCACCACCATGAAAGCTATGATATTCAACAACCCTCATCAGCTTCCATAAATCTTTCTTAATGACAAAATCAAAGAAATATTAGGGTAAGTTGCTGGGTTTTTTTTTACCAGAGTTTCAGAAGGTTTTTGTAGTTGGGTTTTTGTTTGGTTTTAGAAGAGACCATTCATCGGCTTCTGTTGAAGTGAATTTTTCTTTGACCAGAGTTTCAAAAGGGATTTTGAAACATCACAGACCATTGTACTTGTTTTGATTCTGTGGATTCAAATGAGCTCTTGGGATGTTAATTTGACAAAAAAAATTCTGCAATATGTTCTTGGGATGGAATCATTTATGTTTGCGAAAAAAATTTAAAGAAATGATAATATGAGAATTTTTTTAAAAGATTTAAGTATAAATTTGATTTTACCATCACAGAGGTTTATACTTAAATTAAGTTTTTTTACTTTTTTTTTTTAATATAAATTTGAGTTTGAGTTTGGACACCACCTTCTGCATGTCCATTGAATGCAAACTTCTGCGGGGTTGTTCTGGTGCAAGGATGACTAAGAAGGTCGAGTCCGGGGAGGCGGTGATAGGTGTTAAAGTTGTTGTTATGAAGGAGGCAATGTGGTTTTGTAGGGATAAAGGTGTGTTGCAGATCAGTTTGGAAGGGGACTCCATTCAATTTTTGCGTTTAATCAAGGAATTAGAAGCTCAAGAAAGTATGGGTTCTATGAATGAAAATCCTGGAAATGTGATGACAGAGGGAGCTACTAGAGTTTAGTTCGTACGAAATATCTATGGTTCGAAGAAATGAAAATAGAGTGGCTTTTAGTCTAGCCAAGCAAACGAGGTTTATTGAGATTGTTTTTTGTTTGGAATAAGAGAGTTCCGGATTTTTTAATATCTTTTCTTTTTCATGATACTCTTTGATTAATAAAATATACCACTTTCTATTCAAAACATCAAAAATAAACATGATTTATACGTGTGCACGAAATCGAATATACACAACTACAAATATATCGCATAGGAGTTTAATAAACGAATTGATTAGTACCGTTGAAATGGGAGCGTCACCGATATTAAAATTCAATAAGAAAAGGTGATAAAAAATGTGGCTGCTGGGATTCGAGCCCAGGTCTCCACGGCCACAACGTGGAATTCTAACCACTAAACTACAGCCACTTTGTTTTAAAGGTTTTCTGTAATATATATTTATAGTAAATTAATAACTTCATTACGCTGAATTTAATCGTAATTTATATTTGTGGATACTGGGAATTCTTCTGACACCAATTTGAGAAAATCAAAAAGTATAAAAAGAATGAATAAACTTCCCTTTACCTCCAAGTAATTTTTAACCAATGTGATTTTAACGGGTCCACATGTCCAATAGGTAAAATCATTAGAACCATCAAATAAATTGATCAATACGAAGTTACTTTGACTTTCGCAAAATAGCAAAATAAAAATTTTTTATCCTATTTAACCTAAGGCCTTACACGTGGGATTAGAGAGTTAATAGGTGTATAAGAAAATATTTGAAGGCAAACATACTTTTTTTTTTTTTGCTACAAAGTATTTAGGTTTGTGCCGATTACTTTATCAAACTTGATGAATAACATCAAAAATCCATTTGATATTTTGAAATTGAATTTCAGGTTTGTTTTGAGAAATGCAAACCAGGCAGCGAATTGGGTGACTAAATCAATGAACAGAGGCTTACTTCATTGTAATTGGATTTACAATCCACCTGTTGAGCATAAGACAATTTTGTTAACAGATAGTCTTTCTAGTGGCTATTAATGAAAGAGCCGAGACCCAAAGGTTCAAAAGATACAAATAAAAAAAAAAATTATTCCCTCAATCTTAGCAACTGACTACCAAGACTTAAACTAGACTAGAACATGTCCTTAAAGAAAAGAATAACTAACTCTTAGGGAGTATGAAAAGAGATTAAACCTGAAAATCAATGAACCACCCCTAGGCCCCGAGAGTCGGCAAACGTTGAAATTTTTTAAATCTACAAGAAAAATGTCCACCAACAAAATGTAACCCCTACTATTATTGCTAGATCCACACTTAAAAATAACACAAACTCTAAGCTCGAGAAATAAATACGTCCGAGGTGATATCAACTCCTTTATTTTAACATGACAGACCTATTTAATTTCAACAAGTCACCCCATATGGACATTGTTTAATGAACCCATGATCTTCTCATCTACACCGACCAAGAAATCTTTTCTGCTAAATCAAACATACCATATGTGTATGCCTACTCAGTCTATAATATAAAACACGATAAGTTTTAATAAGTTCATCCAACAGTATTAAACAAATTATTTTAATGGCCATCAACATCTCTCTCAAAATCATTCATATTGAATTTTTTTCCTCCTCTAAATCCATCACTTCTCGTTTACCGTATCTTCAAGCACAGTTACCCCTAGTAAATTATAAATTCAATCAATTTAGATTCTAGTAAAAGCAATTCGAAATATTTCTAACTTGTTTTCACGGGTTATGCATTTTAGCTTAAATACGACACTATTAATAAACAAGTCTGGTTAACATCAAATCATTTAACGTGACTAATTCAACATGTTCCCTTTTTCCCAAAAAAAAAATGTGAAACAAAAAAAAGACAACAACAAAAGCCATTTTCATTGCTTTGCCTTCACACACAAATAGAGGAACCTTTTAAAGGAATCACAAAGTCGTACCATCACGCAACCATTTCGTACTATGGGTTCACCTGCAATGGACTAAAAGCTCCATTTTCCGTCTGTTCCGAGGATGAAGGTTTCGGGGGTTTATTTTTTAAGAAGCTTCTTGCATAAAGGGAACCAAAGACGATAACCTGATCCATAAATCCAAAGAATAACATTTGAGCTCCTGAAAATCTATATTGAAATAAAGGAGGATTCAGACAAATGCTTACAGCTCCGATACACTGTTCCCAGCTGAGGGGGTGACCAAACCACACGCAAGAAATCAGAATGCTCACCAACTATATAAACAAAGAGAATTTTAAGGGGCATTGTCAATTCGGATTGCAGATAGGAAGAGCAAAAGGGAAGAGATGGAGCCTCAGTTACCTGTCTTGTGGTCATTATGGTGGCAAATGTGAGGGCACCAAATGTGCGGATAGTGTAGTAAATGAAGAATTGACTAGCTGTTGCTACCTGCAATGAAAATTCTAGTTAACATTTTGCTCTGTCAGATGGGGCAATGGGCATGTACTTGATTCGTGTATGTGAGATGGTTATGTTTGTAAACACATGACAACCGAGAGTCAGAAGGAGCACATAGAGAACTTGGAATCCTATTCAAAGCAGTTAAGAATCGCACTGTTGTAAAGATCACCTACCGTTGACAGCAGTGCAACATCAAGGAAACAATCGGTATTGCGAGATACAAAATCTATTGCCATGAGGAGATGGCCCTGGAGAATTAGACCTAAATAGAAACAGAAAAGGCCAACATAATCGATAACTGACAGCTGAAATGCAACCAAAGCAGTTTTAGGAGTAATAATGCATATTCATACATGAAAAGAAAAGAATTAAAAACTCAATAAATTATTTCATCCAGGAATGGTGGAAATGACAAAACAGCGGAGTTTCTATTTCATTTCTATTCATGAAATGCCATGAATTAGTTTCACTTTGAAAGCGACTGTAGGTCGGGCAAAGTCAGAATCTGCAATGTGGAGCCTGTCTCGTTTCCAAAATTTGTAAAACAATTACTCATCCTAGGTGACCTAGGTTTGGTTGAGCAAACTCTCCTAAATCCTTGTTGCACCATTTATAAGTACACTTGTATATTGTATTAATCTATACTATTTATAAATGTCAGCATCTATTAAAAACTTTTGATTTCCTATTTTGTCCTAATTATTATAATAAAGTCAATTTATATCCACCTATATATTTGCTTCCAATTTTTACTTTTACACCTATTTGACTTTCAACTTGTTTTTGACTCTTTTATAAGGACTTTTAAATTATTTTGAATTCTTTTACAATTACATATAATTATCTATATCTATATGAAGAAGAAAAGTCCTATATATATTAAATTATTATACATGTGTAGTTATCTATATGTTGTTTTTATTTTGTGATATGCAATAAAATAATAATAATATTATAAGTGATCTAATTAATCTATTTAACAAAATTAAAAATTAATAATTCTATAATATAATTAGATGTACAAATGTTTAAAGGAGACGAAAAAATATCTAAATAAATGACAAATTAATTACTTAAAAATTTATAAAATAAGTCAATAATTAAATTTAGTAATAATTAAAATATAAATTAATTATTTGACACTTAATTTATTATTTAATTTAATTACACATAAAATTCACATTTTCTATAAAAATAATATTATTTAAATTTATTTACGTGTGTATCATAAATGCAATCAACCTCATTGTTCATATGTTAAATAGTGAAACCACAAACCTCAAAGGGGAAGTTTTAGCTCAATATGACCATTTCCAAGCCAATAAATAGAACACTTGTGTTTACTAATCCAAGAATAGAGGCAAAAGATAATGGGAATCGGCACAACCATAACGCTTTTGTTTGTGTCACCACTAAAGAAACATTATTAATCAAATGCTATTTTATTATGATCTTAAATCTTTTTTATTCCGATAAATTTCTAACTTATTTCTCAAACTATCGTTATCTTTATGAAAGTGTGGTTCAATATAGAAATGTGTTCGCAAAACACGCTTTCCAATTATTCAGTTAGAAAGTATAGTATCGAAACAATAAAGTTGAAAAAAGACCATAGATTGGGATAAATAAGTCCATATTGTCTCCTAACAATCAATAAGAACCATCAATTCATGATACTACAGAAAGGCAAGAGTTTAAGAAAGTGTTTAGGGTTTCATGAGATTCAGATAAAAGGGAATTACCACTCAAGCTGAGCATACAAGAGCATAGTGTGGTGTAGAATATCTGATTCTGTATTTCCATATCATAACCTTTGAATAATTTATCCTGGAATGTGCTTGTAAAGCCATCAAATCTGTGGGGCATAAAAAAGAGAAATCAAAATCATGGGAAAAGAACAGCGATTCATCTTCCCCTTCATACTTTCTTGGGTCATCTGGATGGTAATATATTAAACTCATACAGTTGATGAGAAGCAAATGGCAATTATCAATGCTCATGCAGCAATCTGAAGAACAGGTGAAAGAATTGGTATATTTAAACTGCAGAGGGTTTTCCCATGATGGGGAGGGGTTTTTTTTTTTTTGTGGGTGGGGGGGTTGAAGATGGGGAAGGAGAATATATAATGGAATTGATACCCAAGATAGCCAATCATCAAGGAAACACCCCACACTGTGCTTTCTCTTCCTCTTCCTCTACCATAAGGATTGATATCAACTGTTGCCTGCAGTTAAAAGCAATGCACCAAATAATTCAACTTATATCAACAAGCCACAAGATTTTATCAGCACCTATCATCTCTTTGAAAACACATCTTCCAAAGTTTATCATGGACTTCCATCTTGGATTAGTCCCTAAAGCAAAGGTTTCAAGATGAGACCTATGTCAACTCCTATACTAGAAAGCCATAAAACACAGAAAAAGACACCTGATATGTCTTCCAAACAAAATACATTACACCTGGGACAAATACACAAATAAACAGAGAAAGGCATATCTAATAAAGGAAGGAAAACAATATTCTCGACATTTGCTTTCCAGTCAGCACATACCAAAACTCACTATCAAGTCTCCACAAACACTTCTGCTTATCAAAGCACTCTGTAGCATACTTCAATGACATAATATCAATATTCCCCAGCAAAAAGTTCAAGAACCTCTAACTACATTAAGTGTTCTGTGATCTCATGCTCCATCAGAATGGCTTTCTTTGCTTCAGTGATAGTTCAGAACATAAACCTTACTTTGGATCTTTTGATCAAATTAAGCAGTGCATCTGAGTAGCAAATGCAAGACTATAAATGTTAACCACCAATGAATCGCTTTAGTAATGTATTACTTGGTGGCTTAACATGCATGGGATGTTTTTCTTTCCACCATCCCCTTATCTTTCTGCAGTGTATATGACATGTTTTCGAAGAACCCGTTCAAGCAATATTTTCCAGTTGGTGCACAAAGGTCATTCCAGGTTACACATTTCTTTTGGACAACTGCTCCTACGAGCCTTTTCTAATGGGCATTCTCCAAGTGTGTAAATTAGCTGTATCTATAAAAGGACCCTTGCTCAACAAGAAAAGTTGGTTTACTTGGATTGCATATGGTTTGAATCTTTTGGTAGGCCTTACAATACCTTTAGATTTGGGTGTCCAGCGTTGCTTAATTGAAAGAGGTAGGGGGTGGAGGGCTCAGAATCAGTGGATTGGTTGGTTAGATTATCCTATCTTATATCTGCTTGCCATGCTCCTCTAACCCTCCATGAAGGATTCTGTGGTCTTTCAGGAATTAATCATCATGGTGTTGGCTATATGTATTGTACCTCTGTTGCTGCTTCTTTTTCCTTCTGAGCGAGTCCTGACCTTTCTTCATGTATTTTCTCACTTCCTAACAAATTCATCATTTCCTTTCCCAAAAAAATAAAAGTCACAGCTTTAAGATATAATGTAGTAGCCAACGTCTAATTTAATTTTGCAATATCTTATCGTTAGAGTGGATAACAGGTGTAATTGATGTCACTGATATGTATGAGTATTTTTGTTCAGTGGATCTATTGACCTAACATACAGATCGTTTAAACAACTAATTTGGGTAAAAAAGGACCTTAGCATACCATCATTTCATGTAGCACATATTTATGTATATGCACAAACAACCTTGCCCACCATTTTCTACGAGAATCACAATGTAATGCTTGATTGTATCATTTATAGAATAAGTTTCCAACTGGTTATATAATTTTCTAACAGCTGCAACTGCTGTGTGCTCAGGTGACAATTCTGCAGCTTACCTGAGTTGTCCAAGAAGTAGTTTTTTGTCCATCAAGAAAAAACTGACTTCGAGTTCCGAAACACTTGAGTAATTACAAAAAAGTATGAGATTCCACAGGTTTATAGCTCTAAACAATGATGTGTGGGGATAGCCATATTATTGTAGTACCAATACACTGTTGATAACAAATATTCTTGAACACAGCTTGAAAATACATCATTCCTGATCCCTAACTACCCTAAACGGAAACACATTTTCAATGGTCATGCTATTTGTTACTAAAGGAATATAAGGAGATAGTTCTTACCGGATATAGAATAAATAATGAACACCCAATGGTCACAAAAAAAGCCACCAAGTAGTCATGTCCCTTGTATTTCTTTTGCATGATGACAGCACCCCAAAGCTGCATAAATAATAAAATGAAAACGAGTCAAAAAAGTCAATCACTCACTTGGTAAACTAAAAAATGAGTGAACCAACATTCAGAAGGATAATGGCAAATGTAGGCCAAGTAAAAAATGAAGATAATTAGCAGCATAGCAGGTGCAACACAAAAGAAGGGATACAATTAATAAACTTAACCGACCAATTGACTTCTAGCTGGAACTACAGTTATATTGGATGGTCCCCCTCAAAAGGGGAAAGAAGGTAAAGTAAAAGAGATGATTAAACAAAGCCATTTCCAAACTTCATGTTCCCTGACCATATCATCGTCTTCATATTATTCAAATCAAGTTCTTGAAGATTGTTGAATCTGATATATTAGAAACGAATAGTCAGCCAATCTGAAGATCCTTACCCCTTTCCATTGCTTTAAGAACAAAATCTCTAGAAAATTTCATCCAGCTGTAGAAATAAAGGTTTACAAGGATGACAACCAGAAGGCAAACAAGGTTTGGCAAGGTATTCTTACAATGATGAACAATAAATTGTTGGTTTAATAAGCTGTTTGGTGATCTGTCTTACTCAAACTTCAGTAAATTGGAAAGGTTTATGAAGTATAGGGCTCAAATTTTCAAAAGAAAGATGCGTGAAAATTGGGACACAAAATCACTTGTCATACCAAAATATGAGACAATAGGCAGAGGTCCCAAAACTAAAGAAACTTTAAAAACGCGTGATAGGAATTGGATTATATTTCGTTATAGTAGGCGTAGGCGTAAGGATTAGGAATTATTTGTCATTATACTTTTCAGGGGTTTAATTGTCATTATGACTATTTATTTTTTTTAGAGTTCTTTTAGGATTTGTGGTCTCCCTATATATATATATATATATAGGAGATATGTTATTTGTTTTGGTAGACTTTGATTATTGATTATTGATATTGAATCATCTTTCTAAAATTCCCTCTATTCTCATCTCCTTCTTCTTCTTTTATCATCTCTTTCTTCTTCCCTTTTCATTCCTAATTATTCCCTAATATGATCTACATCAATTTGGTATCAAAGCCTAATTTTGATTCGTATAAATTACAAAAAATCTCAACAACGCCGTTCATAGAGGAAAAAAAAAAAAACTGTTCGCGTGAAATCACTGTTCACCGGCTGTCCAAAAAAAAAAAACTTTGGCAGATTCTTACTGTTCATCGTTCCTGTTCTAGAAAAAAAAAAAAAATTTCATCGTGCGCACTGTTCTGGTCTCGTTCCATAAAAATAAAACATAATTGTGCACTGTTCATCATTGTTACTGTTCATTGCGCCTGTTTTCGTCGTTGATTTGTGCTGCTTCGACTTCATCGCTATCCATCTTCCTCGTTCCATCGTGTTAAGGAAGAAGACATTGGTTTAACCCTTTCACCCCCATAAAGCTCCAGAATTATAGGATCCTCTCCAGAAGTTCTCGAAAATTACAGAATCACCCCAGAAGTTCTAAAAAATTGCAGAAATAATCCAAAAATTTCAGTATTGCAGAAACGTCCCAACAAGTTCAAAAAATTATAGAAACATCACCTCAGAAGTTCCAAAAATTGTAGAAACACCCCAGAAAGTTCTACACTTTGTAGGATCATCCCCTAACTTGTCAAGCATCCTCTTGGAGTTGCATCTAACACCAAGTACGAATTCTTTTCGTTGAGAATTGGTGACTAGTATTTATATTTGTTGGTAAGTCAAAAAAAAAAAAAAAACCTAAACTTTCTTTGTTTGTTGTTCCCGCATACCACCTTCATAACCTTCTTTGTTTGTTGTTCCCACACACCACCTTCATAACTTAGCTTACCCAATTTCTTGTTAAATTCATTGTTGCTTGTTTCACGTTTATTTGACCCTCTTTACAATAAGTTTGTTCTTATGTGTAACCATTTGCATTGATTTATAATTTTTATTACTTGATTTAATTTTTAGTCTAGTAGGTCATTTACATTAGCCCAAATTTACATTACATTCACTATGACCCTTCGTGAGCTTTTAGAATCCCATACTGCATTAGAACAAAAATTTGAGACCCTCACCATTGATATGACCGATACTAAACAATCAGTCGACTTGTTACGTGAGGAAGTTAAAAGAATGGGGCAACAACTTTCTCAAGTTACTACTCAACAAACCCAATTGACTAAGTTTATGCAAAAACGACCAATAGACTATGACCAGAGTGAGTCACAAGTTTCACCTAAGTCTAATTAAGTACCCAATGTTCGGCACCTGCCTCTCTCGATAGATCCTACTGACTCATGTCAAGGTATTTTATCCACTCCGCAAGGAGCTCAAGAGAGCCGAATAGAGCGTCTAAATAGGAAGATACCTCCTAATACCGCTTTTGGACGAAACGTAGGTCGTAAGAATGTTCAGGAGGATCCTACTGAGGTAATCATGTCTGACTATTCAGCATAAGGTGATATGGATGGTTATCGTGAGCCCTTCTGCCCACGTGCCAGATACCATAGGTCTCCCCCTCCGCGTTACCATAATCTTCGACATAGGCATGTCCACGAAGAATCTAGGGATATCACACAAAGAGTCAAAGTGGACGCTCCTAGCTTTGATAGTATGTTAGATCCTGTTGCTTTCTTAGATTGATTGGATGACATGGATGACTATTTTGATTGGTATGATATGTCCGACAACCATCGGGTTCGTTTTGCCAAAATAAAACTCGTTGGTTCGGCTAAGAGATATTGGCAAGGAGTCCAACGAGACCAAGAGCGCCTAGAGGGACAACCTATTACTTTATGGGCTGAGATGAAACAAAGATTGCGAGATAAATATCTCCCTAGTTACTATAAGCGTCAACTCTTGGACAAGTGGATGAACTTGCGTCAATTGACCTCGAGTGTGACTGATTACCTAGCTCAATTTGAAGAGCTCTTTCTGAGATATGACATAAAGGAAGAGCTTTGGGTAATAGTTACAAAATTTATTAATGGCTTACGACCTGAGATTAAGAGAGAGCTTAACTTACACTCTCCTGAAACGGTTGAGGAAGCATATTATAAAGCCTTAGAGATTGAACAATACCTTAGACCACCCTTTCAGCGTTGAATGCCTTCTCAAACTGGAGAATCTCAACTATCAAGGTCAGTCCCATTTTATCGGTCTCGAGGCGTCACCCAGTCAAGCCCTGTCACATCCAGGGGTAATAATTACCCCAACTTGAGAGGTAATACCACTAGGGGTCGAGATTCTATACTCACAGGTTCTCGCCAGGACAGTTCTTCTATAGAGTGTCACCGTTGTCATGGCAAGGGTCATATTGTTTCACAGTGCCCTCAGCGTACCTTGACCATTGACCAGGGATTAGAGAATTCACTTGACAGAGAGGATGTTGACCTAGAAGTTAATCCTTTGGATGAGGAATCCTTAGAGTTACTAGATGAGGGTGAGGAAGAGTGGCAAACCGATGACACCCGTGTCAGTATGATGCGATGTATCTTATCCACCCCTTCAGACACAGCAGCATGGAAACGCACCAGCATTTTTCATACTCTAGTCCGATGTGGGGGTCAAGTTTGCAAGGTCGTCATTGATAGGGGAAGTTCATTAAATGTCATCTCTAAATCAGTTGTAGCTCAGTTGCAGCTTAAGTCAGAGACACACCCACAACCTTACAAAGTCGCATGGGTTGACAAGACCTCCTTACCAGTCTCACATAGATGTTTGGTCCCTATTCAAATCATATATGGTGTGATATCTTACCTATGGATGTCGCTCATGTCTTGTTGGGTCGCCCGTGGCTTTTTGATCTAGATGTGACAAACTATGGGAGGAAAAATACCTATATTTTTAAGCATAAGGGGAAAACCATTAAGTTAAAACCTGCGAAACCCTCAGAAAGTAATACTTCAAAGCATAGGTCATCTTCCCCAGTAATTCACAAGAAAGACCTTCACATCTTGACCCATAGAGAATTTGAGAAAGAGAGAAAAGAGTCTGGTATAATGGTAGCTCTAATTGTCAAAGAAGTTGTTCAAAGTCCTCTGGAATTTAAAGACGATCTTTTGCCTAAGGTTGATAGTCTATTGAGAAAGTTCCATGATGTGATTCCTGAGAAACTACCCGATGAGTTGCCACCAATAAGAGATGTTCAGCATGCTATTGACTTAGTTCCAAGATCTCAGTTGCCTAATATTCCCCATTATCGTATGAATCCCACTGAGTGTGCTGAACTCCAAAGGCAAGTAGATGGACTGTTGCAAAAAGGGTCTGTTTATCATAGTCTTAGTCTATGTGTTGTCCTTGCTTTGTTGACCCCTAAGGAAGATGGCTCTTGGAGAATATGTGTTGATAGCCGTGCCATTAACAAAATTATAGTCAAGTATCGATTTCCTATACTGAGACTTGAAGATATGCTTGACCTTTTGGCCGGTGTACTTTAGTTCTCCAAAATTGATTTGCACAGTGGTTATCATCAAATCCGAATTAGACCAGGAGATGAATGAAAAATCGCATTTAAAACCCAGGATGGACTTTATGAGTGGTTGGTCATGCCTTTTGGATTGTCTAATGCACCTAGCACATTTATGAGGGTTATGACTCAGATACTGCGTCCTTTCTTAGGAAAATTTGTGGTTGTTTACTTTGATGACATCTTGATCTATAGTAAGTCTAAAGAAGAGCATTTGGAACATCTTTAACAAATTTTGCAAATATTACGTGTGGAAAAATTCTATGCGAACCTTAAGAAGTGCTCCTTTATGCAAACTCAAGTGCTTTTCCTTGGATTTGTTATTTCTGCGCATGGTATTGCAGCTGACCCAGAGAAAATTCGTGCTATTAGGGATTGGCCAGTGCCAAGAACAATTTCTGAGGTTCGAAGTTTTTATGGTTTGGCCACCTTCTATAGACGATTTATTAAAGGGTTTAGTTCCATTATGGCTCCCATCACAGAGTGCATGAAAAAAGGGGAGTTTCAATGGACACTTGCTGCAACTAGAGCCTTTCAAGAAATTAAGTATAGGATGACAAAGGCACCTGTTCTTCGACACTTAGATTTTTCTAAGGTGTTTGAGGTTGCCTGTGATGCATCTGGTGTAGGGATAGGTGGAGTTTTGAGTCAAGAGGGTCATCCTATTGCTTACTTCAGCGAAAAACTCAATGAAGCTAAACAACGATGCTCTACATATGACAAAGAGTTCTACGTTGTGGTACAAACTCTTCGCCATTAGAGGTATTATCTATTACCATCTGAGTTTGTGTTATATTCTGATCATCAAGCATTAAAATACCTTCATTCCCAGAGAAAATTGAGTGTTAGGCACGTTAGGTGGGTTGAGTTACTTCAGGAGTATACTTTTATTCTTCACCACCGAGCGGGCATTGAAAACAAGCTTGCGGATGCTCTTAGCCGTGTAGTTACTGTTTTACAGACTATGAGTGTCCATGTGATTGGCTTTGACAGGATTAGAGATAAGTATGCCTCTTGTCCTGACTTTGGTATCATTTTTCAGGAGGTTCAGTCTGGTAATCGTCACGAGTACATTGACTTTCTCCTTAGAGATGGTTACTTGTTTAGAGGGTCGCGCTATTGTATTCCTCGCACTTAAATTTGGGATTTCCTGATTTGGGAATTACATGTGGGAAGTTTGGCAGGCCACTTTGGTAGGGATAAGACATTTACACTTGTTGAGGATAAGTTTTATTGGCCCACTTTGAGGCGTGACATTATTAAGATAGTGTCACAGTGTCGCACTTGTCAGTTGGCAAAGGCTAAGAAACAAAACACAGGGTTGTACACACCATTATCAGTTCCACACACACCATAGAGAGACCTTAGTATGGACTTTGTCTTAGGATTGCCTAAATAACCCGTAATCATGATTCCATTCTAGTTGTCGTGGATAGGTTTTCTAAGATGGCCCATTTCATTCCTTGCACTAAGTCTACTGATGCCTCACATGTAACAAAGTTATTTTTTAGAGAGGTCGTCCGACTATATGGGTTGCCTATTTCTATTGTGTCTGATAGGGATGTCAAGTTTGTGAGTTATTTTTGGAAGACACTTTGGAAACTCTTTGGAACTAGTCTTAAGTTTTCCTCTACCTTTCATCCCCAAACTAATAGTCAAACTGAGGTAGTCAATCGTAGCTTAGGAGATTTGCTTAGGTGTCTAGTGGGTGAGAAGATGAAAAATTGGGATTTATTGTTGCCTACTGCTGAATTTGCCTATAATAACTCCGTCAACAGGTCGACTGATCTATCCCCTTTTGAGATTGTTTATAACCATTCCCTTAGACAGCCCATTGATTTATTACCTTTACCTCCTGATTCCCGTCCCTCACACTCAGCCAAAACTTTTGCCCAGCATATTCATGACTTGCATGCCGACATAAGACAGAAAATTACATTTAAGTAATGAGAATTATAAATTGGCTGCAGATGTTCATCGTAGAAATAAAGAATTTATTGTGGGAGACTATGTCATGGTTCGTGTGCGTCCTGAACGTTACCCTAAAAATTTTTTCAAAAAGTTACTTGCACGAGCCACTAGCCCTTTTCGTATTCTTCGTAAGTTTGGACCTAATGCATATCACCTTGACTTACTTTCGAATATGAGTATTAGTCTTATTTTCAATGTGGAGGACTTGTTTCCTTATCATGGTACTTTTGAGCCTCCTATGTTTCCAACAGGTGTTCCTACAGGTGGACTTGCTTCGTCATCAGCATCAACTATAGTTCCTATTCTTCCACCGTTTCCACCACAGCTGCATGACTAGATCACAGATGTACTTGATGATTAGATTGTAGGCTCCTCGGATGGAGGATATCGTCGTTATCTTATTCGGTGGAGAGATCGTCTAAAAACTGATGATTCATGGATTACTGAGGAGGAGTTTCGTCGGCTTGACCTTGATCTTCTAGAGCATTGTCATGATTGTATCTCTCCGGAGGCGAGTTCTTTTCAGCCGGGGGGAAATAATAGGAATTGAATTATATTTCGTTATAGTAGGCGTAGGCGTAAGGATTAGGAGTTATTTGTCATTAGGAGTTATTTGTCATTATACTTTTCAGGGGTTTAATTGTCATTATGACTATTTATTTCTTTTAGAGTTATTTTAGGATTTGTGGTCTCCCTATATATATATATATATATAGGAGATATGTTATTTATTTTGGTAGACTTTGATTATTGATTATTGATATTGAATTTTCTTTCTAAAATTCTCTCTATTCTCATCTCCTTCTTCTTCTTTTCTCATCTCGTTCTTCTTCCCTTCTCATTCCTAATTCTTCCCTAATACGGTCTACATCAACGCGTCTACATTTCTTCCACTAGTTAAATGCCAAACATAAATGTGTGACATGAGCTCAAATTTGCCCCATCATTGGGATGTAAAACGGAAAACAAGTTGAAGACAAATAGTTGAAATTTCTTTTGAATGCGCAAAAAATCTATTTCAAATGGGATGTTGACGAGAAAATAAATCATAAAAACTGAGTTTAGCACCTATTAGCAAAACGTACAATCATTTTAAAAAGCTTAGATAGTTTCCAACCTTCAACTTCTCCCCCCCGCTCTCTCTGCTAAACTCTAGCTTTATATATATTTTTTGTCAATATTCCACTTGTTGGTCCAGAAATGGTTAACAAACCTAATTTAAGCCAGCTTATTGTAGAGATGAAATAAAATGATGCCAGTAATCTTTACAAAAAACATAGATTTTTCAGCGGTGTGAAAGGAATAGCCTTGAATCTTGAGAATGAGAATGTAGGGATTGTTGTCTTTGGTAGTGATACTACTATTAAAGAACGAGATCTCGGAGATAACAACTAGATTGATGCAAAGTTAACTTACCATTACAGGTATCATTTTGGCGCACTTTGCCAGGGTCTGAACAGGAAAACTGACATACTTGAGGGCCTGGACAGAACACACATCAATAAAGTTGATGCAATAATTACTAGTGACTTCTCATCCTCCAAGGTAAACTATAAATTAAACAAAATTCTAACTAATATGGAGGAAGTTAGCCTATTTGAAATTATTACATCAGGAGAAATCAAGATGAAAAAACAGAAATTGGCCACAATTTACCTCATATTGACATGTTGTGGTTAGTATGTTAGATACTGATACAACACAATACTTGTGAACTGGAGCAACAGGGTCCATGGCTTTCTTACTTGCCTAGAAGAGATACAAAAAATGGATTGATTAAAGAGTATGGTTAAATAAGATGCCTTAAGTAACAACAAATATATAATTCATCATTGTGTGTAAAGGCAGTAGCAGGAAAATTCTGCTGATGTGAATTGTGTTATAGGGAAGCAGCGCATGCCCTGTAAGACCTATGAAAAACTGATGAATTAACCACAAAAACAATAGTTACCAGCAAAGTGCCAGCAGAGACAGCACAGGCAGTAATGCGGTTGCAGAAGACAAGAAATAACGAGTACTTAAAAAATTCTTTGTTTGGTCCATAGGGAACTCGCATGATCTTTTCCTGCAACAATAAACTTCAATGAATCCGTTCAATATTAATAACTGAATGATTTGCACTGAGAGAGGCATAAAAAATAGAAAATTTCTACAAATAAATAAAAATTGCAGATTAGGCAATAGCAGGAACATTGCCACAAGGGTGTTGAACTTCCAAAATGAGGATAGTGGCTCCTTTACCATTTAATAAGGACTGTTAATGAGCAAGAAACTACAGCCAAGACAATAATAGTGAAAGGAGGCATCACAGCAGCCTAGTGAACAAAACTTTTAGAAATATAGACAGCAGCCAAGTGAACAAAACTTTTAGCCTGTCACCCTTCCTTCAAAGAATATGTTATAGTCCCCATCGCTTTGACAAACATATAATGCACTCCAAATAGTGCAGTTAAATTTCCCGAACGAACTTAAAGTTGATCACAAGGTTCACACCTATGATGAATTATAAAGAACTTTATATGGAGTCCTCTAAGGGGCTGATACTTGGTTCTGAATCGTAGGTACTTGTAATTTCCCAACCTGATAATCCCTTACAAAAGCCAAACCTTATTACACCAAAATCCAGTGGACCTTTGTGTCTACGAGTTTCCACAAATAAAAATTAGCCTTTTACGCACAAATAATTTGAAAGTATTGTTCAATGCAAGTACTTGATAGATAAACGCACAGTGCTATTCGCACATTCTTTCAAAAAAACAAAAGCTTGAAAGCACTGATCAAAATTTCTTCAGAGTACGAGTAGAAAGCAATAAGGAATAACCTAATAGGCACCTTACCTTCTCTCTACGGCCACTTTGAAGTATTTAAAAACCCATTCAAATTGAGCCCCAAAAAAATACTACCACCATGTTCTTATGCTAATTTCTCCACAGATGTACCAGCTAAAACATGCAAAAGGCTTCGTAAATTACGCACCAGTGCGCACTTGATTGAAAATTTCAGACTTGAACAGATGAAATCAACAAAACAGAAAACTAATTCTGGCACCGAAACTTCAAGATCTGAGAAGTGTACCTGCAAGATTCCATAGATGACAAGAGTGGACATGATTCCACCCACTGCAAAAGCCCCTTTCAATAGCATGCTTTCTTTCACGGCCGGCGAAAGTGAGGGTGGTTCCGCCATATCCCATCCAATCCACCACCGCCTCTGCTCACCAAATTACACACCACATTTATATTTCATCACAAATTCCATGCCAAAATCAATACCTATATTTCCAAATCCGCAAATTTGTATATCTTTGAGTGCGGCTGTTAGTTTCACTGCGTATAGAGGCCATGCATGATAAAAAAAAATCAAGAAAGAGTAGCTCACCAGCGGCGGACAAATATGCCGAAACTTCCCGGAGATCGCCGTTGTAGTTGTACGGAGACCATGATACAGTGATCCAAGACTCTCTGTGTGTGTGAGAGAGAGAGAGAGAGAGAGAGAGAGAGAGAGAGAGACGGGACACGTGCCAGAGAAGCAGAGAAAAGGCTGGTGGCGTTACGGACTATGGAACTCTAGTGACTGAGAGAGAGGAACAAACAATGTCTCGGCTTTTCAACGCTAATCTCGACCGTTGAGAAAAAGATGTATTCTTGTAGTTCGTATAGGACTTGACAGGCGCAAACAAGAACTGGCCAAAAAATATAATGTGATCCTACTATTTAATAAAAATATAATAAAATAAATAAAATTTATATTATTTTTTTTATATGGAATTGTTATCAAATGACATAAAGAAATAATTATTAAAATATCTGAGATTTAATTGCTTACTTATTATCTATATAATAAAATAGTTAAAAATATTTATCTTTAGTTTTTCGCAGTCCAGATCGTTTTAAGACTTTTGATCCGACAGTCTTTATACTAAATTTTCCTAAAATTTTTATCTTTCGTCTAACTCTTTTACCATATCTCATACTAACTAATGCAGACTCCTATCTCTTCTTTAATTTTAACTTCCTATCTCATACAATAACTCTTTTTCCCTCTCTCCATTTTCTCTATGTTTCTCTCTCTAATACATTCTCCCTCCTCTATTCCATTTTTAAATGATCAGCAATCCATCAAATTAAACAACTCAACAACCCATTTTTACTTATATCCAGCAACCCATCTATTCCATTCTCTCTTTCATACCCGTCTCTTCCGTTTTCTCTGTAACTCTCACCTGGCACAACAACCCCATCAAATTAAACGACCTAGCAACTTCCAGCAACCCATCTCTTCCATTCTCTCTTCCATTCTTAAAAATACTAGCAACCCATCTCTTCCATTTTCCCACCAACTCTCACCCGGCACCTATCTCTCTCTTCCTTATCTCTCAAGTTATCTCCCTCCCTTCCTTATCTCTCATCTAAATCTCTCTCTCATTTTTAAAACACAACACTACTTCCCCTTATCTCTATGTCTCTACCTTGTGCCTCCAATACACATTGAACAAACCACTGCAAGCAGTCTAGGTATTTCTCTTTGGGTTTTCTCTTTCTTTCTCTCTCTCTCTCTAACTGTGCATGTGTTTTTGTTCATGTATGTGTGTGACTGTGTGTTCATGTGTGTGTGTGTTGTGTTCATATGTGTGTCTGTGTTCATGCGTCGATCAATGTGTTCATGTGTGTGCCTGCATTCTTGTTTTTTAATTTTTCAGAATGTGTTCATGTGTGTAATACAGAGTTTCCTTGGGGCCAATCGATGTTCATATGTGTAGTATAGTGTTTTTCAGAATGTGTTTTTGTTCGTGGGGCCAATCGGTGCAAGAAGGGTAATGCAAAACCAAAGAGAAAAAAAAAAAAAAACCCTTCTTCCTTAAGTTAAATATAATACTCATAAGACCCAGAATGGTGGCTTGTAATTCAAACCCAGGAAATGAGATAAGAAACACATGAAACAATGCATTTAAAAATATATGAAACAATGCATGTGTATGTGCCTGTGTGTTGTGTTCATGTGTGCCTGTGTTTGTGTTCATATGTGTGTGTGTTCATGCGTCTGCCAAAGCGTTCATGTGTGTGTGCGCCATTGTGTGTTTTGGTATTTTATTTTATTTTTTGTGTGTTCATGTGTGTGTTTTGGTTTCGAAATCTCTTCTCTTTAAATTTTTGGTAATTATAAGCACTCCCTTTCTTGTCTTCTTACTTTCTATTGTAATTGAATCTATTTCAATTATGGTGTATGTGATATTTTGACTAATTATTTTTGTCAATTTAATTATTATTTTTTCACATAATTACACATTTTCTTATTCACCAAATAAGTAGTAATGAATTTGTTCTTTTTAATTCATATTAAAAATGTGTTGTGTGATTATCTATATAATAAAATAGCTATATTGTTTATCTGAAGTTTTTCGTAGCTTAGATCGTTTGAAGATTATTAATCTAACGGTCCTAATTGAACTTTCATTTCTTTTATAACTCTAAATCTCTCATATCTCATATAACTCCTTTTCTCTCTCTATCTCATATCTCTTTTAAATACACTATATATATATATATATATATATCTCCCATCTCTTAGATGTTTTAAATACAGTCTCCCAAATACACACTCTCTCATCTCTCATATAATTCTTTCTCTCTTACAGACACTCTCTCTATCTCATTCATTTTACTTTTGTGAGTGAATTTTATGTGTTAAATGTGTATTGTTATTTTCAGTGCTTTTTTATTCAAAATTTGCAGTTTTGACATGATTTTATTATTGTTAAATGTTATGTGTGAAATATACTATTGTTATTTTCGGTACTTTTTAATCATACATTTGTATGATTCTATAGAAGAGAAAATATTTAAATGTTAAAAAAAAATTTTGTAGACATTCAAAATCAAACTTACCACAAAAATCAAAAAATTCAAAACTAAGCTAATCGCCAATAAAAAAAATAATAAGTGATACCAATTGCACAAAAAAAATTCAAAACAAGCTAATTACCAATAAAAAAAAAAGCAATGACTAATAAAAAAAATTAAATGAAACCAATTGCACCAAAAAAAAATATTCAAAATCAGCTATAAATTTTTTTTTCCAAGTCGTAAACATTCAAGCTCAAGCTAATCACCGATAAAAAAAATAACAAAACCAAATATTTGAATGCTAAAAAAAAAAAATTCAAGTTGTAGACATGCAAAGTGAAGTTGCACCCAAAAAAAAAAATCAAAGTCAACCAATTGCACCAAAAAAACAAAAAAAATTCAAACCCCAAGCTAATAGCAATAAAAAAAATAACAAGTAATTGAATTTATAATTATTTTGTGTTATTTGGTTGAATGATGACAATGGTAATAAATTCATACGTCTTATAAATGAGTAAAATTTTATTTATTACTTAAAATTATAAATTTTATTAGATTCATTTGTATTTTTTTTTCCGAGGTATTTGTATATGTGATATTATTTTGGGAAATTTTTTTTATACATTTTTGGGATAGGTCTATTAAAATGAAAGATATGATCGATGATATATTTTTGATTATTTTAAAAGAATTGATATGAATATTTTTGACCCACTTTCTTTTTCAAAATGGATAATTACTTGTAATTTTTTTATGGATTATACAGACCTTCATATACTGACAATGACTAGTATTTTTATAAAATAGTAATATATAGTGTTACTTAAAAAAAAAGGATAACCGAGTCAAAAAATAAAGTTTTAACTTCGAAAGCTATTAACGTCTCCGCTTCTTTAACTACCGGGTCAAAGATAACTTTTCTTCAATATTTTAAGGAGTCCAAGTATTAATCTTTGGTATGTATTTTCACTTTTTACCCAATGAAATGGCGTTCGTTTCTCTTTATGCTTTGGTTGTAATGATAGAAAAAATAGAAGCTTAACAAATTGGAATAATAAAAAATTTGAGGGATAGATAAATTATCATGTTTGATAAAAAAAAAATTAAATGATGAAAAAAAAATTGATTAACTTTTCTTTTAACTCACCAATATCAATCTCTGTAAAATTTGGAGAAAAAATAGATGAAAATTTAATTATGTGTGTCAAAATATATGTTATTTGTCTAAAAATCTTTTGATATATACGTATATCATATTTTTTTATTAACTAGTTATTGTCTGTCTTGAAGACATAAAATAATAAAAAAATTATCAATTATAAATATATTTTTTATTCACACTAAAAATCAAATTACAAATATAAAGAAGAGAGAAATTAATTTAAGTATCGGTCATAGCGAAAGTGAGCGGTTGTAGTCATAAATGACACCTATGATTTGCATAAGCTGGCCATTTATGCATCAGACATTGAGTGTGTTTGTTAACTCAAATTCAGCACTTAAAATAAATATATTCAACACTTATTAATTAAGCTCATTTGATAAACAAAATTTAAATTCTCTTTATTTATTAAGTGCTCCTAAAAAATAGATTACAATATTAAGTAGGAGGTCTCTTACTTAATTCTGAAAACTGAAAACTGAAAGCTGAAAGCACTCAACAAAATTATTTTTAATAATATTTACAATATAATTATACCCTAAAATATTTTACAATGCTATTAAAACTCTCATTAGCCTTCTCTTCAAACCCCTAACCTATATATTCTTCTTGTCGATCTCATTTTTTTTTCTTTCCCTTGTTTTCTGTAACAAAAATATACATACATAATTATAATTACACACACAAATGCACGCACTGCACACACTGGACACACACAATTACACACAGACATATGCATTGCACACACACATATTGTAAATGAAATCTAATTTATTGTATTTTTTCAATATTATTTGATTATTTATTAGTTACTGTTCTTTTTTTTTATCAGATGTTATTGTTTACTTATTATGTTATTCAATTTGTTATTGTTCACTTATTGTATTATTCAAATGTTATTTATTTATTTATTTTGATGAAATATTTGTTAAATGTAGACTACAATATAATAATAGTGATTATGATTTATGTTATGACATATTTTATAAATATTTTCAAATTAAAGAGTGGAAGGATAAAACTTAAAATTAATTTATTTTCATACATTAGCTCTGTGTAGTTATCAAACAGTTTAGTTCAATTCAGTACTTAAATTTCAATGAATACCAAACAGTCCACAAATTCAGACTTCAACTTTCAACTTTCAGACTTCAGCTTTCAACTTTCAGACTTCAATTTTATCAAACACCACCATTAATTGACTTTAATTTTCTTGCTTCTTGGATCGAC